TTCTTGAAGGGCCTTGAAATTCATTGCTCACCCACTCTCATTGAAGTTTGATGGTGATTCTTTAACAGCATTAATTCTTTCTTTACTTGCCAATTGCCATACATATTTTTCTAGTTAAATGTCAACTAAAAGTCATTCCCTTTCATCCAAACAAAACGATCGATATTCCTTGTTCAGTTGCCATCCTATGAATCTCTTCCAATCAAATCCAAGCTCTAAACTAAATTAGTCTCCATAAGCTAATATCGCCTTCAAGCTTTGATCCATAGGCTAACTTGGTGCAAATTTTTATTTTTATTTTTCGGTAAACCGCTTATTTTTCCATTTTTAAATTAGTTTACCCATAAAAGATCGTAGTAACAGATGAAATGTCGAACACTCTCGTCTATCATGTCGATAGAAATGAGAAAAGAAAGTTTCTCCCTCAAGCTAAAAAAGAAAAAAAAAATTGGACGAATCGAACATTCTTTAAAATTATTATTTAGAAAGTACTAGCTAGATACGTACTAGTGCTCCTTAAATATTCAATAATTCTGACTAGTTAGTTATCCAAATTAATCCATAGATTAGACGTTTTGATCTCTACATGTCATTGTAGTAATGCATATACGACACGTAAGTTGTAATATGTTCATTATTGAATTAGACAAAAATGAACGATATGACTTGGACACAAATGTTGGACATAGAGATAGAGCATTCAAAATTGTCGAATGGTTGTTCGTAGAGTTCAATTTACTAAAAACACCCTCATTAACATGATTTTCTGAAGAACGTGTAGTTAAAAAATAGGAAAAGATTTTGAATTTACGTGTATAATATTTTATTGTGTGAATGTGTGGTTGAAAATAAATATGAGAATTGAAGAGTTTTTGTTTTAAATGGAGACAAACATGAGCTAAAGATATACGAATTTGAATTACTCTTCTTAACAATTGACATATCAATTGGAGGTATGTTCCATCTTCTAGACGTTAAAGAAAAATGCCACGTCATTTAAATATAAAGATTTGAACTACTACTTTTAACGATGCTAACTTTAAGAGGGAATTTCAAGAGTCGACGCCAAGATAGTGGCGTGGCGTCGACCTAATTTTTAATTTATATTCTTGGATGGAACAAATGATTATCCAGTACGATGTATAGAATTGAGTTTACGGAGTATAATTTGGTTTGTGCAATAGGAATAAAGTGTAGATATTTTATTCTGCACAACCCCAAAAAGAAGAAGAAAGAATTTTATTAAAGGTATGTGCTTTAACTTTCGGTATCATACGTATTGATCGCCATCACTCACACCGCCAATTGTCTCCTAACCGGTGGAAATCTTATCAGTAGAGTAAAACGTAAGTAGCACACATAAATTTTTCAAACAAATCTGGTTTCAGAAAAATTTAGCCATCCCTATTACATATTTGGCATAGAGCACTACAAGAAGTGAGAATAACAAAGGAAAATTACGTCGACTGATAATTTGTGAGAACTCGGACAATGTTTTGAACACGAAAATGGGATTCTCGATCACTATTTATTTTAGGTTGAGTAAGAGACGAAAAGAGGATTCTTTTCGGTTTTTATCATTGAAAATCAAGAACGTGAGTAACTTCTTTCAGATTAAAATTGTACATAAATTGAAGGAGTTCAAATTCATCTTGGACTATAATCATTTAAACCTTGTTTGAATATAATATTCGAGTTTGAACATGTTCACTGAGGTGAGTACTCGGCTGTAAATTTCATGGCTCCATGGAATTAGTCGAGGTGCGCGCAAGTTGGACCAGATATCTACGGTTTAAAAAAAAAAAAGTTTGAACATGTTTGTTTGCAATTATACTTAAAAGTTTCACACCACGGAGCAAATAACATATCAAACGTGTCATTAAAAGATAAGATGAGACATGAGACGCACATGTCTATGCCACGATTTCTTCATATTCCGATGGTTGCGTATCCGATGAAAAGTGTCATAGAACCAACACACTTAAAACCTGCCTAACTTTTACAAAAATTTGGACCCGTATTTGTTTGTGAATGCGATCTCTCCTAGAAAAGGACAATATATTTCTGAATTAAGGTGTGTTTTCTGACAAATGTTTTAAGTGATCAAAATATGAATGAAATTCAATTAAAGAGTCGTGGGCGTGATCCAAGATGAAATCTTTTTGTATATATTCACTGCAAAGATCTGAGACTGAAATTGTTTGATTGCAATTTAAGACAGAGACTGCAGCATGCCATGCTAACCAGTCACTTTCATGATAACGACTTGCATTATTAATTTTGCATGCTTTTGTACAGAATTTTGAATGCGTGACAAAGATTTTCATCCATATTTCTTTTTCTTTTTTTGGTACGTGGTCGGTCGTTCTTATCAAGTTTGCTAACATAAGAATTAATAGAGTCGGATCGAGATGCAATGTACTGACACTGATGTCGTATATGTATACATCTCGTTGGTGGAGTGAAGCCTGAGAAATTCGATTATCAACAAATCGTTGATTTCTATGAATACAGATTTAGATTGGAAAATTCAAAACGTCACGCCAAAAACTCGTCGATTCTATGAATAATTAATGATTTGGAGGGGGGCAACAATTCGTTACACAAGGCAATGACTTATGTTAACCTTAATAGTTACTTTTATTAAAATCGCAAAATAAAGAATAACCAAAAACCCTATTTTATTGAAATAAAATAAAATAAAATAAGAGACGGAATAAAACAATTAGAGAGGTTAGACGTTGATTTGAGCTTAATCTCAAACGATTTTTTTTGTTTAAAGGAATCAAAAGATTTCATCCTTCCCACCCGAAAAATCTCAAACCCAAGTCATTTGCTCGACAAGATTTCGCTCTTATCACTTGAACTAGACTTTAACTTTGAATCTCAAAATTTCTAATTTTATCAATTGACTTAAATACAAATTTAATAGTCTATTTGGAGCCCAATTTTTGGAAAGTCATTGTCTTGTAGGAGAGGCCAAGGTTTAGACCTCATTCTCTATAGTTTTGAACTAGACTTTTTTGATAGAGATGTACTAATTTTTCCATATACAACTGTGATTTAGAGTACGAAGAATATCCTAGTCTTGTGACATCAACTTGTGCATTATTTGAGTATATTTCATCTAAAGAGTGGTAGATTATATATAAATAATTATGAATGTATCTTACCTTTTAAATCTTAAATTTTTATATTAGGTACGGTCTTCCAACAAACAAAGATTTGAATACCTCACTTTTGTTCAATGAAGAAGCAGACAACGTTAACTTGAAAGAGTCTCGGTCGGTCGCCCTGTTCCGATTGACTTCTTTGTGAAAAGCCCCCTTGAATTAATATTACAGACAGAATATTAAAAAAAGTGAAGAATAAATGTTTCATTAGTGGCGATTAACGATGAAAACACGATCTGTGATTGTCAACAACATCATAGACGACAATGCTATTAAGTACTATTAGAGATTATGTTAATAATCAATTTTTTCCATTTAAATTCATTTTTACGAGTATTCTTGAAATGAATCCATATTACAAAGTTAGTCAATAAAAAACGATATTTCGAATGATAAAATCAATTTATACCTGTCGAAGATCATGCATTTTGCTGATTCCTACATAACAAGTGGAGGAAAACTACGCGATCAATTTGCAATCATAACTAAATGAGAAGACAACAAAATCTAACCCTATTGGTGAAACATAGAAATTAATATTGAATTCATTTGAATTATTCAACCAATTATATGTTGGTTTTATTTTGTATCTGTTTTGTTAACATTGATTTATAGTCCTTTTACTATTCTCACTGGAATTCCCCACTCGAAGGGAAGTGAGCCGAGGAAAGGCAATGAAGGTTCGATTCTGTGTTTGGGTGGATGAAAGCCCTCAATTGCGTAGAGAAAGGATAATTGAATTGTGAAGCTTGAATATGTTGCATTGGATAACTGGACAATGCGTTATGAAAGTTTCATATCGATAAATAATAGTTTCTCAAAATCATCTAAATGATACTGCACGATTCTTTTTCAACATTCTATTTGATCATATTGTCACAAATATATGATGAAGTTCGTCCATCAATAGCTCTCTAGTGAGAAGCAATAACAGAGTCACAATAGCTGGCCACACCTTACCTATACAAGTAACTCTAAAATATCAGATGATAAATGACATTAGGATCTAAGCTGTTGGAAGGAGTTCACACTGATTAGCAATCGAATCAACAGAATATATGTGCAAAAGTAAAACTAAACGAACAAAAGTTAACAAAGTAAACTGAAAATAAACTCATCTTTATTTCCTGAAGCACCCAAGCCAAGAATCCAGTACACCTTGCTTAGATTACTGAAGAACAACCACTAATCTAGTGCAAATCACAACCAAAGTAAGATTACAATAAGTGGACACTCAGACTAGACCGATTATTACACAAAATAAGAGACCTCTCTTTGTAACACACGGTTCACACAAGAACCAACCCTCAAATAATGATATCACACAAGATTTACAGGCCATTCGAGAGAAAATCAGAAATCAGATGAGAATATTTGATTTTAGCAGAGAAGAAGAGAACCATGAAGCAAACGGCGCAGCACAGAGAAAAATAGAAGAGTCTCAAAGCCAATCACCAGATCTCAAACCCTAGGAGCCCTTTTAAATAAGTCACCTAATAGCCACCAATCCAACGATGTTGAAGGCGACACGTAGCGACATAACAAGCGTCCAAATAAAGGTAAAGAGAAAACACGATTTCAGCTTACAAAGGCCAACACGTTTTCTTGCACCAATTTAAAAACATAATAGATTGTTGGGCTGGTCTTCAATTCCAATTGGGCCAGCTCAATCAGGCCCAATTAGTCATTGTATCATTGTGCCACAAAATTCCCTTCATACTCCATCTTGGTACAATGATTCACAATCATCAATGGTTATTCAACAGTATCAGATATCATAAGCACACAACAGCATCCTCAGATCAACAAAGAACCACATTCAGCAAGGTCGAGCAGTCCAGAAATTTGTTCAAGGGCAGTACCTTAGTCCCTATATCAACAGGATTATAATTAGTAGATATCTT